GGCAAACGATGGTCGCTTCTGGCTCCAAGAGCGGGGCGTTCCGTTTCTGAAGCAGGCAAAGCTTTCAACCTAAAAGGCTGGGGTTCCAACGAGTACCCATCGATAAACCTGACAACAGCATAGCGGGTCTTTTTAAGATGGTTGTCCGGCGTGTATAGGCCCTGAAACACCAAACGTCATTGCTCTCAGCTGAACAGCCAGCGGGCTGATGGCGCCACACTGCCAACGCCGGCTAGCTAGGTCCAGTGACAGGACCCGGGGCTGCCTGCTCTCGCCCGTTGATATGTTCATGTTTCGCCGCCTGCATTAGTGGCGCTATAGCACAATATTCGTATTCCAAGGGCAGCGGGACGGTAAGCCTGCCAGCTGATTATACGACACGGGAGGCATGCAACGTTTTCAGGATGGTGCTCTGCGTAAAATTCAGCATCAACGTTTTCAGGATGGTGCTCTGCGTAAAATTCACCTTAATAAACAGCTTGATGTTTTTATTAAATGCATTTTGATAAACGGTGTCAAAGTAATCGCATGTTTTGTAGCGATAGCTTTGAGATCGGTCCCTATTAGGTGTAGCGTGTTGTGAAACTCGGTTCTCACTATCTACTCAAATTCCCTGTTAGTGAGGGCTGGTTCAGAGACCATTCCAGTTCAAGAGCATAGAGAGCAAGGGCATGCTCTCATTCCATAAGAGCATAACGCGCCGCACAGGGCCTAAATTCTGCCACTTCCATTTCAGCCGGGCCTTCTCATCCAGTCGCCATTTGACCGTCGCAGACGAGCGCCACGGACGCGGTTTCTGGGCGCGTACTCGCGCGCATCCCATGCATTCGTTGGGCTGTGCGACGCTCCAACGGGCTCCGTCGGCCGGGCGGGCTGCAGGCTGCATTATAATGTTGCGAGCGATTTGGTGGGAAGGTAGAGAACTTCTAGTCAGCACCTCAGATTAGACGTATCCGGCGGCGAGGAGTTTTGTTAAAAGTCCGTTTATTGTAAAGGAGAAATGAAGCCTGAAAGCGCTCGAACCTGCATTCACGCGCAGTTTTGCGCGGCGTCTGGAGCTCACCTGCCCGAGCAGGTCACCGGGCCGACCTAACCATTCGCGCCCCTGTCGGGCACGTCTTCGCAACCACCGACTCTGCAGTCCGGCAGTCTGCAGCTATAAGTGGCGCAATGCTGTAAACTTTGCGCTGCAATATGTTCGAGGGGTTTTCATGCGAATAATTTCATCAGACGTCTTGTTTTCTGCAGGATTGCAGCAACACGACAGCTTTCCCTTCCGCACTCCATGGACATGACGCGTAGAATCTCATATTACAAAAAAAGAAACGAGAACCCGGCTCGAATCTCGGCGACTCGGGGTGGTGACGTCACGAGACTGACGCCTTTGGAGGGGGAGACAAACACTCGCTCTGCCGAGGTGTGGGTCCGACCGCTCGCACCCAGTGACGTCCGCTCGCACCCTGTGACGTCTGCACGCACCCAGTGACGTCTGCTCACACCCATTGACGTCCGCTCGCACCCAGTGACGTCCGCTCGCACCCAGTGACGTCCGCTCGCACCTAGTGACGTCCGCTCGCATCCAGTAGCGTTCACTCGCACCCAGAGACGTCCGCTCGCACATAGTGACGTCCGCTCGCACCCAGTGGCGTTCACTCGCACCCAGTGACGTCCTCTCGCACCTAATGGCGTCCGCTCGCACCCAGTGACGTCCGCTCGCACACAGTGACATTCACACGCACCCAGTGACGTCCGCTCGCTTCCATGACGTCTGCTCGCACCCAGTGACATTCGCTCGCGCCCAGTGACGTCCGCTCGCTTTCATGACGTCCGCTCGCACCTAGTGACGTCCGCTCGCACCCGGTTACGTCCGCTCGTACCCAGTGAGGCAGCTTGGGTACAAGCCACTGATTCACCAGCTTTCGGCCTTTCAGAGGGACCGTCGGGCGTGGAAGCTTAAGTCGACGAAATCGATGGCATAATGATTTACGAGGGAGTGGCTGTGGCCACTCCCTCGAGTGGCTGTAAAAACCGCAATTATGTTGATTGCATATTGGTCGCAATGAGCTTGGGTGTATGCCTGTGTGGCTTGTGCGGCTCGATCGCTCGCGTTTGGCCTTAGGATGCAGTATTCGAGACCCGTCTCGGCAATTGTGACATTTGGTTGTGCTGGGGGTGGAACGGAACGTTCACCACCGGTGCAACTTTTGGTTGAAAGGCTTTTGGATTGTTCAATGATTTGCAGATAACTCATAGTCCAACAACGAGCAGTTGGTTTCACATCTTGTGAAACCATGAAACCATCATCGACAACGGTGTGCCACACTGTCGCGTGACACACTGCTGTTTCCACACCGTCGTGTGACACACTGTTGTCGCGACACTGTCTTGTAACGCACTGTCGTTGCCACATGATAGCTTTACACACTGTGGTGTGGCACACTGTTGTCGTCACACTGTCGTGTGACACAATCTTGTTGTCACACTGTCGTGTGTCGCACTGTTGTCGCCACATTGTCCTGAGTGACTGCGACGCTAATGCATGGCTAGCACGTTTCGTGGTGACGGTGACGTTGCCAGGGCTTGGGTACTGCGAATCCACACGCAACATAATTCTCACCATTTATGCACCTTTTGAGCGTTGTGAAGAAAGGCAGTGACCACGTAGTGCTAGTATTAGGTTTATGTTAGCTTGCAATGCATCGTGCATTATTGGGGGGGGGGGGGGGGTACAAATGATGGTCATGCGTCGAGCGATGGGCGAGTTAACCAGCTGCCATTTTCAGAGCGCGAGTGTAACAATTTGATAACGCGTCCCGCGTTCAAAAGCACCGTCTTAGATGTGAATGTTCAACAGTTTTTTTTTAAATTATGCATGTGCACAATAGTATTATCTTTACGTATACGCTGTATGTGAGCGTGCCCTCGCTCAGTCGCGCCCCTTCTCTCCCTCACCCCCACCTTCCCGTACGTCGACGGTTGGGCGCCGTGGCGCGTCGTCTTACTGCCGGCTGCAGCACGTTTTAAATGTGGCGATGACACAAATCCGTAGGTGACTATGACTATTAGTTATTTCAACACATGCTCGACCCGCAACGTAAGTGCCCTGAAGGAACCGCTTAGTAAAAGTTGACAACTCATTTTTTTTTGGGGGGGAGGGTGCGAAATGGCCTCGATCCCGACGCGACCTTTAACACCAAACCAGACGTGAGATATGTGCGGGAGGCCTGTCGTCAAAAAGCGTGCCTCTTTCTTAGCGGTGACCCGTCTTGTGAAACTCGCTATGGAATGCATGCAGGCGCAATATATGACCTTTACCGAACAGTTTCCTTCAACCTGGACTAGCAGACGCAGTAAAACGATTCAACGTTCCGTTGCTATAGCAGAACTGCTAACACGTACAGCTTCGCCGCCGCCGTCATATTTCCACAACAGTGGGTCGGCCAATCGCGCCACATTTGCCTGTCTTGCCGCACGAACGACCCCCCCCCCCCCCCCCCTCCCCGGCCGATTACGTAACCAGTGTGCTAGAGCATAAGTGCAAAGGCAGGGGTATTACGCGGTACAAGAGCTACACCTTTTCCTCAGGTTATTGTCCGATATCGTGCAGTTCACCGTCAGGTTGGGCTAAACTATGCCAAACTGCGTCTGTGCGTCTACGTACGTACGCACGTACTACGTAGCCTAACGGCGTACAAAACTGAAACGCGGCAAATATCGCCACCATAGGCTTACAGGGGATAATTTCAGGTCAAAGGAGGTCATGGCGGGATATTTTATGAACTTGACCTTCACGTAGTCGGTGCGCCCCAAAGCCCAAATCATCATCATCAACTTGACCTTCGACGACCTCGCGCGAACGATCCCCACATACGGTGATGTCACAGTCGCAGTGTGCGGGGTCTACTTATGTCACTTTTCGGTGTTAAAGGATTCGTCTGATGTGACCTTGACCGTGATTGACCTTCGCACGTCGTTTAGTACTCTTAAGTCACTGAAGCAACGGGCGCATGATCTAATGTGCCTGAGGGCGGATTTCAGGTTTTACTGACGACCTGATGTAACGGCGAACCTGCCTTAAATAGCTGTAGGTAAGGTCAGGAACGTTGATGACGTCCTGATTGACGTCCCTGACGTCCTGATGACGATTAACTTAACGTCCCGAAAACCGCAAAGGTCTGGTGCACACAGAGCCAAAAATGGGCCGCGGAGTGTCGTTCTTCCACTTTCCGCACTTTTACTGTGTGGTGATTTCAGAAACGTTGTGCGGGAATTACTGGATCGACACTTCGTGCAATGTTTCGTTCTTCTTCTTTGTTAATGCTCGTGTCTTGGATTCTGGTGGAGGCTACAGAACAAGTACAACTTTGATACGCTGCAGCATATGACCACCATGCGCTTCAAATTAAATGCCAGTGAGGAAGCCGAGAAAAATTATTCTGTAATGTAATGCAACGTAATGCGGTTAGTGACCACTAGTTTTGGTATTATATGGGATACGTCACTTCGTTGTTGATCAGTAGCACAGTTTTACGTGTCACCAGTGGATCCTTGCCGTCAATGCTAATCGCGACTATCAAATTGTGTTTGATTCACACAGTTATTTCGCACAAAGAACGCGGAGTCCGCCCAATGTTTTCCCCCACACTCACTCACGCAACTCATCCTGCCCATGCATGTGCCTTAAACTCCCCACACTCACTCACGCCACTCATCCTGCCCATGCGTGTGCCTTTAACATCATTTGCATGTCTCAGCTAAACGGAGCGGTCAGTGCCGATTCTCCAGAGCGCTAAGAGATGGTCGCCAGGCCGCTCGTCGCCGGCCGGCCTGGCGACCATCTCTTAGCGCTGCCTCCTTCCGGGGCCCGCCGGATGTGCGGCTCCGAGCGCACGTTCCACACAGTGCGGCGCGTCGTGCCTCCAGTGTGACCGGTCCGCGCTGCCCGCAGGCTAACGTCGTGGGTCGCAGCGCCAAGTCGGTGCGCGAGTACCTGGAGAAGAACTACTCGGCCGAGGCGGTGGAGACGGAGAAGGGCGCTGTGCGGCTGGCCATCTGCGCCCTGCTGGAGGTGGTCCAGTCGGGCGGCAAGAACCTCGAGGTGGTGCTCATGCGACGCGGCGAGCCCATGAAGGTGCGTGTGCGCGCGGCGGGTCGCGCCGCGCTGACGCCAGCGCCGCCTGGACAGGCGGACAGATGAGAGGCCTCTGAGTGGGAGAACGGGCGACCCCTGACGGCGCCGCATCAAGCCGGGCCGAGTTGCCTTCGACCTGTGACAGAGTAGTTCGGGCCGTCCTAAAAAAACCGTTATCCCAATGTCATATCTCAAAAACCCATCATCCTACTCTGCGGGGCAGGAAGGATGGAAGCAGCGTGCATTTCCATGTGATAAGTGATGCGTTTTTGCTCAAATGGAGCTACTAACAGCGATGCAACACAGATGATACAACATGAACATGAAATGAAGCAGTGCAACATACGACACAGCATGAAGTTGTATGCTCCAAAGCAAGCCATTTAGCCGACCGTGTCCTTTGTTTCCGTGAATATGTTGTACTAGCCCGTTGGACCAATTCTTATTGGTACCGCAGTCATTCCGTAGGCATCCCTTTCCACTCCAACCACGAACAGGCATTAGCATGGCACTGCACTGACAGCCGTGCACGTGATACTCGTGTCACGCGTTTGGCCGCCCGAAACTAGCCGGGACGGACGTCCGGGGGAAGGCGAGTGTAGCGGGGCCCACGGGGCCTATGGACGTCAAGACAGCAGCAAGCGGGCTCTGCTTGCGCCGGCCCAAGTTGTGTGGAGCGGCCATACGTTATGATCGAATGAGGTTCATTTGATTCATGAAAAGCTGCCTAAGTGAAGAAGGGCGGAAAAGACCGGCGGTCTCTGCGAGTCCGTAGGGTTTCATATGGCGTCTGCGTACACACCACAACGTACTTGGGATGTGCACGAAGTGAAGCACCCGCCGCAATGTGCCCAAAGTTCCAACGCTGTTGCCTTCCCGAGATCCAGGCTCCCCTGCGTCATCACTCTGTCACAGCAGCGGAGCAGAAGAGCTATGGCATAACGTGTGTACGGTTATCTGACCGGGCTGGGGGAACGCTGCGGCCTTCTGAGCTGCCTCCCGGTGTCAGTCCCAGACGACACCAGGGCCTGGTGTTCAGATTGCACGTGACATATTCATTCACATGAAGTCTCTGCGTCTGTCGTAGTGCGTTTGATGATCGTCTATGGGAAAAGGCAAATGGCGTGTTTTGTAGGTCCACATGAGTATCTGAGAGTATCTATGATGACGAGAAGAGAACGGTGGAGCAGGCAGGCAAAACGGCGGCGTTCTGCAGTCGTGTTGTCTCTGATCGCCGACGCTCTCTCGCTGCAGATCATGGACGTCTCGGAGATTGAAGAATACGTGGCGGCCATCGAAAAGGAGAAGGAGGAAGAGGCAGAGAAGAAGAAACAGAAATAAGCGAACATTTCGTCCACCGTCCTGGGCACTCATCCTGAATTCGCTGTCTGTTGATTTCAATACAACCTGCTGAAGTGACGCCTCTTGTATGTTGCTGTCATCCGATCGGAGCATCTTACGTTATGAATCGGCTCATGAAGATGGCTTGCAGATCATATTTGATATATAGTTCTGGCACATCGCCCAGAAAGGTGATGCGGACAGTATGTTTTAACTGCCGGCCGAATGTCCGTCCCGATGGCTCAGTTGGTTAGGGCGCCTGCCTTCCGATCCACCCACCCGTGGCTGGGTGGGCTCGGGTTGCTTTAGGCGCTCGCTATTTGCCCTTGGTAGGTATGGCCTGCAGCCGGTGGCAGTGGCCGCAGCAAAGGTCAGATGACGTCAGAGGGCGGGACGGACCGTACCGGGCATTGCGGCACGTTAAGCTTCCGCCACCAAATTCTGCCGTTGACCTGGGATTACGTGATCGGATGGAAGGGGTCAGGGTTCACCCAACAAGCACTGCTTAGCTTGAGTTCTGATTCCAGAAATACATTTGTTGAAAAGGTTCGGACTATATCTGAAAAAGGTGTGGCAGCTGGTGATGCAAAGTGGTTGGGGAAACAAACAAAACTTAACGAAACCATGTGAGAGATCGAAAACTGGACACCGCATTCGTGTGCATGCATGCATGGGAGCTTATTTAAAAAGGTGAAAGTTTCCTGGGCATGACATTTGCCTTTATGTCCGCACGCCGATGCAGCTGTAATTTACAGGCGTAGTTTCCGACGGGTCGTGTTGCCACCCAGCACGAGCACCTGCGAAAACGGCGATGTCAATAAAAGGCGTTGGTTATTTTTCATAGCACCCGAACATAGTTGTGCCCTGGACCAGAAAATTGAGGATAATTTGGGCAGCGTCTTAAACTGTGTTGCTTTTGACACGTATAATGACGGGGACATATCGCACACAATTTCCTCTTGTAGTTTGAGGTATACCACTGAGTAACGTGTTTCGTTCGCGATGGTAACCTTTGAGCATGTATGTATTATTGCGATCTCATTTTGGAAGGTTCTAAAGCGCTCAGCTACATAAAATTGTAATTTCATGCTTTCCACTGCCTCATAAGCACGTAGGGACCATACCTATTGAAATGCCGTCTGCGCTCCATCTTTACGGTGAATAGCAGATTGAAGTCTGAAAAACGCGGTATAATGCCGAACCCAAGGTCACGTCATGTCCGGTGTAATGTCGAACCAAAGGTCACGTCATGTCTGGTGTAATGTCGAACCTAAGGTCACGTCATGTCCGGTGTAATGTCGAACCTAAGGTCACGACGTGTCCGGTGTAATGTCGAACCTAAGGTCACGTCATGTCCGTTGTAATGTCAAACCTAAGGTCACGTCATGTCCGTTGTAATGTCGAATTTAAGGTCACGTCACGTCCGTTGTAATGTCGAACCTAAGGTCACGTCATGTCCGGTGTAATGTCGAGCCTAAGGCCGGGGCAGACCGGATCTGTCTGCGAAGGAACGAGAACCACGAGGGAGCGTAGTGGCGTGGAGCTCCTCCTGGGCTTGGCTGGACGGGTACGCGGTGCGTCGAACAATTGGTAGGCGACACATTTGAAGCCGGAGGGGAGATATGTTGGTGCGGTGCGCGTGGTGTCTGTCCTTTCAGCCGAGGAAATGGCCGTGTTTCACTGGTACAACATGGTATGGTTGTCATATTCTGAGTGCCCGTGGTAAGTCACGGCTCATATGCTATGCTAGCAGGTCACGACTTGGTCCAGTCTGCTGGCGGGCACGACATCCGGAACTCGCCCTTCCTAGAGTCGCGTGCATGGAAAGAATTCACTACCAAGACCAGGCTGGATTTGCTGGCTTGTCACGTTTTGACCTAGCAACGGTGGGCGATTGAACACGTCTGCCACCACACGCTGTCGTGACAACCGTGTGGAAGACACTCGCGTTTAAGACAGTGAATGTTGCCACGTTCTGATCTTTTCCTATGTGGCTCGAACTTAACAGATTGTCCAACGCGTCTAAACAAACGGGAGGAACTTTTACCTACCAAGTACCACGGAAATATGGTATTGTAATTATGTGAATTTTGTAATTATGGAAATACGCTAGAAGTTACGCAACGATAACTCTTCGTGATGGCTGCCCAGTTGGTCGACATGAAACGCCGAAGCGTGCGGCCCATTCCAGTCATCGCATTACCATATGATGAAGCTGTAACTGGCACGCTCCAGATTCGCCGCGGCTGGCCGGCACGCACTGCGTCGCTGGTTGCCAGGCGCACCGAAAACCTTCGGCCACACTGCGTGTCAGCGTGGGGTGGCCGCTCACGGCGGCGGCCCCCGCATGCGACCTGTCAAACCAGCAAGTTCCTTTCCGCCTTACCGGCACGCCCCAAGCAATTAGTAGCGCATTATGGCTTTTACCATAGCGAAAGGTATGGCTAGCAGCATGTGCGCCCGTGTGGCTGCGTCACCAGTCAGCGTGCGAGCGGCCTATTCGTCAGCGGCGGGGCGCCGCCGGCCCCGGCTGGTCGGGGTCAGTTGGCCGGGGCGCGCTCCGCCCAGAGCTGCCCTGCCCGCCGGCTCGCTCCGAGGCGGCCGATGGCGTCGACCGCGTGCGGCGTGGCGGCGGCGGCCGCCCTGCTGACGCTGGCTGCCGGCGCGCTGTCGCCGCACACGTTTGTCATCGAGTACGCGCCGTTTCTGGACCGGAGCCACGGCATGCTGGTGGACCCGGCGGCCGTGCTGGACACCGTGGCCGTCTCCACCGAGTGTGAGTCTGACGCCGGAGGAGTGCGAGTCTGAAACCCGAGGACTGCGAGTGTCGGTGGTGGGGAGTGTGTGACAAAATTGTATGACGAGTGAGAGAGGGTGAGAGAGGGTGAGGAACGAGTGAGAGAGGGTGTGAAAACGCCAGGTGCATGCGTGCCGCCCGAAGAGTGCGAGCGTAACGCAGCCAAATGCAAGTATAACGCCTGTGGAGTGTGACCGGGATTCTAAAGTTGTGTAATTTTCAGTCAGATTTCAGGTTAGCACTTCAGCGTTGGTCCAAACACAACGGCAGATGAACGTATGCGCATGGGCACCCATAATATCCTCTAAGCATAAAAAGGGCGCGTGGGAATAGGAGAAAAAAAGTAGTGGTTGATATGTGACTGCTGGGAAGGTAGCAGCTCATCAAGCAATGTTCGTGACGCCATTTTGGAATTATGTCTGCCTGCTGGCCGCTACTCCTTGTAGCGAGTGAGTGACTTCGTTCCACATTCCCAGCGTGACCATGTCAGCACCACTCACCGGCCATCATGTCGTCGCAGGCTCCTGCCTCACTCGTTGCTTCACCTCCGAGCAGTGCGCCGGCTACAGCTACCACGCCGACTCCGGCAACTGCACCCTGAACAGACTGCGCGGCAGTCCGCGGCGGACGCGCCAAAGCGACGGCACCCTCTTCCGCTTCCGCAGGCACATGGGTGAGCTGGGCCTGCGGCCCGCAGCGGGCCACGCGCTTGCCGCCACATCACAGCGCAACAGAATACATTCATGTGCGAGCCTGCTTTCCGGCGCGCTAAGATTATTGCAAAGAGGCACTTAATATCCGGTTTTTGTAGCACGCTAAACATTACGGATTCTTGACGACTCACCACCGACATCTAAAGACATTCTAGCGCTTTCCTGAGTCAGGTTGAGAATACAACAAAGCATAATAATACCAGGCCTTCCATAATTCGTCGAATTACCCCAAGGTTGCAAATAACTGATACGACATGCTCCAGTGAGTAGCATAGCGACTACCGCGTACAGCTTTTGTCCGCACCCGTCTGGGTCCGATTGGTCTCGACATCGTACGAACCTGGCTTGTCCCGCGCGTAAAGCCATGCACTGAAGCTTATGGTCCAGCAGCTGGCGTTGCGCGTGTCCGGTGCCGCTTCCGGCGCCACGGATGTCGATTTGTATTCTTTAGTGAGGGCCCTGCCCCCCCCCCCCCCCCCCAATGTTGAGTTGCCCCCCCCATGTTGGCTGGGCCCCCCAATGTTTTTAGCTGGAATGCTACGAAAAAGTGGGTAAAAGATTATCATAACACAAAGACTATCTTATTTGATCTCTCTGCGTAGTGACATCTCGTACCGCTCTCATAACATACAGTCATGATGGCTCTCACCACAGGATACAAATCGTCATAGCTGAGCGGATAAATGACGCAATAAACTTCACATATTTAGCATGCATAGGATACGCAATGGTTTGTGAGGTTAAAGTGAAAAGTTCCGGAATATAGGAATGACCAAAGTCCTTCATGGCCAACCCCGTCCCGTCCCCCCAACCAAAATGTGTGCCGCCTCCCGTGATTGTATAGAGGGGCGCCATCGGCGCCTTAAGATGGCCTCTAAAGGGGCGCCTTCACGTGCCGATCAGAAGAGATGCGTGCGTCCACTGGCTGCTTCTGGATCCAACCCTGCATGACTTCTATACTGTTTAAATCGAAGACCTTTTTAAATTATACAAAGATAAAAAACATCTTGCGTTTAATAACAATGAAGTGGGCTAAATCCGATGAGAAAAACATGGCGGGGGGAGGGCTGGGTGCGTGGGGTAGGTTGTTGGGCCTTCGATTCGGCCCCGCATAGTCCACAACAAATTGACGCCCCTGTCCGGCGCCGCGTGTCCCGCGCCGTGAGTCCGGTGCCGCGTGTCCGGTGCTGTGTCTGGCGCCGTACGTCCGCTGGCCGCACCTGACGCAACGGCCGCCCGCTGGCAGCGTACCTGGGCGACTGGTGCTCCACTGACGCCGACTGTCAGCTGCTCACGGACGGCGTGGGCGTGTGCGTGACCTCTGAGTGCTCGTGCCCGGCCGGGCAGGCTCCGCTCGACTGGTCCCGCTGCGGTGAGTGCCCCGCGGCCCGGCGGACCGGAGCTCGAGCCGCTCTCACTGCGACTGGTCCCGCTGCGGTGAGTGCCCCGCGGCCCGGCGGACCGGAGCTCGAGCCGCTCTCACTGCGGCTGGTCCCGCTGCGGTGAGTGCCCCGCGGCCCGGCAGACCGGAGCTCGAGCCGCTCTCACTGCGACTGGTCCCGCTTCGGT